TCCTCTTAATAAAACCAAGCATCTTCTCCATGCTGTCTTACAGATTTGGGGTATATATTCCTTTTGATCAATGATAATGCTTTAAAGTTCTCTGAATTCCTGCACTATTGGCTTAGAAATGTTCTGTTCATCATCTACCCCATTTCCATCTCCAAGCTGATTTTGGATTCATGTGCTTGTTAATGAAATTTGATGTTGTTTGTTCATCTTAAAATACAGTTGATATGCAAAATGACACACACTGACTGTATATGATTTGCAAACTGCTTCTTTAAAATGGATGATCTTGAATATTAATGAAACAGACTTTCAAACAAATTGCCACTTTCTTTCCCTCCTTTTTTCTTAGGTGGGTGCCAAGGATCTGACAACATAGAAATTATGAAAATAAATCCATTCCATCAAGTGCACAATTAATTATTCATTAGCTATTTGAATGGGAAAGTCTCAGTTGTTTTAAGAAAAATGTCATTCACCATCTACTCTGTATACAGTGGCCCCTGCTTTGATTTCTCTAGGTGGTGGTTATACATTTCCGATTATAACTTATTCAAAAGCCTGTTCTCCTTTAATTGGATCCTTTTAAACTAATCAGGCACTTTTCTCCCGTTTCATTTACATGCTGTTTTCTTGAGTGATATATCACGTGATGTATTTTTACTAAAGTACTTTTCTGTACAGCAAAAAACCCCTTGCATTTAGATGATGAGTACATGGTTAATATTCAGTATGTGGTCTTTGTTATATACAAGAAACTGGGATTGTTTGTTTATATTGCTCAGTGCCAATTTCTGAATGGAAGCTGTAGCCATGAAACCAAAGGTAAATTTAAGTCCAGTCTATATAATCGAAACATTTGCATCAGATTTAGTTAATTTGTATGTGTGTTTGTGTGTACACCCACCCTCCCAGTCAGCTATTCTGGCATAGTGCCTTGAGTCTGTACACACACATTTTCTGTTATAACTATGTCAGAGCCAGCTGGCTGGAAGGGTGGGTGGGATCAGATTTGGTTTGTGTATGTGTACATACACATATTCAAGTAACTGAGCTAAGGGTAGCTGCCTTGGGGGGTGGATTGAGGGTTATGGTGCCCAGCAGTACCTTGCATTTCATCATGGAGAAGGAGAAAGCACATAGAAATTTTTCAATGAATTGTACTTCTAAACTAAAGGGCTCAAATGGTTTCAAAACTGGGCAAAATGGGTGTCTGTACGCGTGTGAGGATGCTGCTCCAACATGCTGTAATTATGGAGCTGCTCTAATTAAAGTCCCCCCCCCCTCACTTGCATAACACATGTAAAGACACCCAATGTCCACATCTTCCAAAGCAAAGTCTATATAATCTTTCACTGTATAATAGGGGTGTATGAAATGGGCTGTATTCAATCAGGGACAGTGATTCAATTCATTGATTCGGATCACTGTCTCTGATTTGATTTGGCCAAATCTGAGTCTGAAGATTCAATGCTGATTTGGAGAATCAGCGATTCGGCCATAGACTCAGCTTTAAATGTTTTTTCTACATACCTCGAGTGAGGTACCAGTGCGGCTTGTGAACGCTGCGATGGTGGGGCGGATGGGGTGTCCCACAGGAGCGGGGGGAGGGAGGGTCCTCTGTGCTCAGTGGTGAACCCAGAAGTGGACTGGAAGTACTTCTGGTCCATTTTCCATGGGGGAGTGCACTGGGGGGTCTCCCCATGCCCCACCAGCTCAGCGATCAGCCACGGGGGGACACTGGGTGCCCCCCTGCAGACCCAGGAGCCACCAGTCACCAAGCTGGGGGGCCACAGGGGGGCCCCCCAGCACACTCCCTGGCAGACCTGGAATTGGACCAGAAATGCTTCTGGTTCACTTCCATGTCTGCTGCCAAGTGCGCTGGGGAGCCCCCCGTGCTCCTGTGGGAAACTCCATCCGTCCCACCATCGCAGCATTCATGAGCTGCCTGCTACTTTGAGGTATGTCAAAGTTTTAAAGCTGTGTCTATGCCCGAATCTCCCAATCTTTCCAAATCAATTTGGAGGGTTCCGATTCGATTCGGAGAGATTAAAGGGTCTCCTGATTTGATTTGGATTTGGAGAGTCGGCCACCGAATTGGGCTGAATCTCCACCAAATAGAATCAGGGACTGAAGCGTTGCACAGCCCTACTGTATAATCATCAACCGTGCACCTGCTTTTACAGTTAATTACCCTGTCACTGAGAATAATTTCATCAATCAGTTGTCTCATTGGTGTGAGAGGAGATGACAAGTCATAGGAAGTGAGTTTTCTGTGCTTGTCATGTGACTAACACTGTTATCTTGATCTTTGTCTTGAGCCAATAAAAGCTTCTTTTTCAAACAAGTCCTGAGCATTGTGTGGTTAGATACATTTGAGAATCAGTAGTGTCTGACTGAGCAAGCGATGCTGAAATTTTTTTAGCAAACAAATGTCTAATCAGTTACACAAAGGAGATCACATACAATGTGCTAATCAGATATAGTGAGGCTATTTCAGCGGTAGTCATGTAGCTTCAAAGAGCAAGAACAGATGCCCAAAGATATGGTTGATAATAAAATCAGAAGCATCCCATTCTATGTAATTTATTCAGTTTACTGTGCTCTTTATCCAATTTGCCATATGCTGTGAGAGATAAATTTTGTGTATATGTTCTTTTCTCTTTTATACTCTGATCATTACACCAAAATGTTGAAAAGTTCCTTGCGGGAATGCTAAGCATGTGATGGAAAACTTGAGAGAACAAGGATATTAAAGATAGGTTTTTACCTCATCCTTGACTATAACACAGGCCATTTAACATGGGGTGTTTACACAAGTTACATTTTTCACGTGATCAGGCCCCTGAAAGCGCTCTACAACTATGACATCACACATGTGCACAGCTGCAGAGTGCTTTTAAAGTGGTCGATTGTGCAAAAAATTAACCCTTGTTAAATGAGGTATTAGATGACGGTGCTTTAAAATGGAGTGCCTTAGGGAACTTGTGTTCTCTTGAGGTTTAATTTTTCACGCTTTGTGGTGCTGGAAGGAGGAGGAAGAGTAGGGGGAAGGGGAGGGAGCAGCAGAGCTGCCGGCTGGGCTGGAGCTGGAGGGAGAGGCAGGGTGGAACGGAGCCCCTCTGCCTCTTGGGGGCCCCCCAGCTACCCGGCCTGGGGTACTGAGGGGAGTTGGGCCAGGCCTGTGAGGCGAGGCAGGGGCCCCCTTCCTCTACTCCCTGCCTGAGCCTTTTGATAGAGGTGGCAGCAGCTGCTGGCTCAGTTTGGGTTGGTGGGAGCTGAGGGGAGCAGGTGGGGATGGAGTGGAATGGAGCCCCCTTGCCTCTCAGGACTGGCCTGGCTCCCCCCAATACCTCAGCTGAATTAGCTGGGGCAGGATGCTGCGAGGTGAGGGGACTCTCTTCCACCCTGCTTTCCCCCCCCTCCAGCTTTGGCCAGGCAAGGTCTAGCTGGGAGCTCAATGCTGCTCCCTTCCCTCCCTCCCCTGCTGACAGCTCTGGAGATGGGGAGAGGGGCAGGGCTTGGCAGCCTCCTCTGGGCCTGCTGGAGTGCCCCGGCATGCTGGCCAGGGCCTGTACAGGCAGGCGCGAGCCCCCCTACCCAACAGGCAAATGTCTGTTGGCGCGGGGTGGGGGCTCTAACTCATGGCACTTTTTGTGTAAAGTGGCATGAGTCAGAGTGGGGCCCTAAACATCTGTAGGCACCCATGGGTTTGGCAGTTTTACTAGCGATGTAGGTTGGGTGCTGCACTGGAGCAATAATTTGCCAAATAAACTGCACTATGTAGGCATGCTCGGAGGATGCGAAATTGCTTCTTACTCCCTTCTCAACTCAACAGCCAAAAGGTAGGGTAGGATAAAGGGTAAAAAGTTGGCTTTTCCTTTGTTTTCCCTCAGGTTTCACTTTCTTTTAGAGCTCAGCCAGAATATAAAATGATGGGTAGTTGTACAGTGCCCGGGGGGGGGCGGGGAGGGGAAGGGGGGTAACAGCTTCAGTCCTTTGCTCTTGCAGAGCTCTTTGGCTCTGGACACCCATCGTTTTTCAGGGGGATGTTGGAACAGTGTGAGAAGCCGGGGATTCTTCCAGCCCTCCTCCCCAGCCCGGGCTACAAGGGCTGGCAGATGGCAAACTCTTCCAAAGCATAGTACTGTCTGTCAGGTGTGGGGCAGTCAATGGGGGCTGACCTTCTTTGGTCACGTGGGCAACTTTTATCTACTGAGCTCCCTTAAAAATACATGACACTTTCTCAGTTCATCTAAACATCCCCTGTAGTGCTGCTATAGTGTTGAAAATAGCCAATTTTGAAAATTAATTTTATTTCTAAAGGGACCTGCCTGTTGTGTTTTCTATGAGGATAAACTTCATGTCAGAAATGTCAGGGAGATAGAAGGCAATAATAAAACATATTTTTTTCCTGAAGAACAACAGAACGTTCACTTGAAGGCAGACGATCAGAGGACACGGTCAGAATGCATAATTTAGAGAATGTTAAAGAGTAAAACTTGAAATATGAAAGAACAAAGCCTGCAGTTAAATTAAATATCCAATTAAGCTATCTTCTTGGCTGCAAAATATCTTCTTGACAGACAATTAGTTTTGGGCAAGTCAAACATTTCAGCTATGCATTCATATAGGGCAATTAAAGAAACTAATCTATATTTGATGTGAGGAAGAGGTACATTAATTGGAAAGTTTTGAGAATGAATATGAAAGCATAACCTATGCAGGTTTCCCTGCCATGGAAACGGCAAATGCACTGGTAAGAGGTTATGTGATTTTCTAGATGACCTATTTTCCCTTATCTCACTTCAAGATGTCTCTGGTGGGATAATATTATTGATTTCTGATTAATACTGAAGACACAAACTGCCAATTTGCTTTTAACAGGAAGTCATGAAAGCAGAGTGCAAAGGATTGGAAATCTATTGCTGTATGTTGCTTTGCTGAAATAGGAGCCTGAGCTCCCTGTCCATTCAGATCTTTTTTTTACCTCCATTTTCCAGGAGCCCCACCTTTGACTTTGAGCTACCCTTCTCTGACACCAGAAGTCAGCAAGTGTTTACGCCTCCACCAGATTGCCTGTGTATGCCATCGCCTGTACTCTACCACTGGTAAAATCCTCTATCATATTTTCATCCCTGTATTTACACAATTTCCAGGTCTTGCTTCTAATACCAGCAATGCTTGAGCATCTCATGCCCATTCCTAAACAAGCCTCCATTTAATTCAGGATGCAGTTTATAATCTTCAAGTCAAATCCTTATCTGGTAGAAATACACACAGTCAGTGCAGTATATTTTAATTTATATACAATTAAAGGTTGGATGCTTTGGTTTTAAATGCCTCCAGGGAATGTCTGCAACCAAATGGGTTTTCCCTTGCTTTCTCATGTTTATCTGCCTCCTCTTTGCCCCTTCTCAGCGTCTCACAATTTTGCTGTGAGAATTGTAGAGCTCACATCATTTGGAACATCTGTTTCACTTCAAATCTTTGCTGTACACCTCAGTCTTTCCTTTCTTCCATCCCTTGTCTTTGTCTGTGTAGCATTTTTATATTTAAATTGGTAGCTGTGGTTTGCAGTCTTTTCAAATTGGTCTCAGGTGTGTTACTGCCAAGTACTGGATTTCATTAGTCCATAACAAAATCATAGGGCTAAAACAGTCTGTTTAAATACATTTTAAATGCTCCCCTCTCAGGGAGTAATCCCAGAAACACTTACCTTGAAGATCTGCGGTTTTTTTGGCCCCACATGACCCAGATCACTTTATGGCTTGTCTGCAATTTGCTCTGAGATAAAATATGCATGAAAAATGTCATATTGATTTATAAAGGTGTTTAGGTGCTTAAAGATGCAGATAGTGAGATTTACAAAAGTGTCTAAGTAGGTTGACTTGAAGTCATTGGGAGTCAGGTGCTTAACTTCCTTAGTAGGATTTACACAAGCACTGAATTTGATTCAGTAAATATGTAGTATGTAAATTCACAACTGTGCTCTGCCTTCTAAAATATTGGATCACATTCTGTAGAAATCTGACAAGACTGTAGCAGTTGCTCAGTAATACTGCTTTCCTTCTCAACTACCCTTGTGCAAATCAAGAAGTGAATTATAGCAGAGATAGGACAAAGTGCCCCCAAACCTTTTTTTATTATAACATGGGGGATTTTCAAGATAACTTTCTGATTCTAGTCTAAGCAAAGGAGGATAGGTATTTTGATGAATAGCAGAGATTCTTTTAAAATTGAAAATTTGATTGATACTTTGGTTGCAATTGTCAAAGGTACTGTGGGTAGCTTAAAAGCCTAGATCACTTAGATGAGAGGCAGGCAAAATATGGCCCGTGAGCTGAAGCCAGCCCGCCAGGCAATTTCATCTGTGCCATGGGCACCCACCAATTAATTGTACCCACCCAGATGGCACACCCCCTCCCATCCTTGTGTGCCAAAGGGCCTGACCTGGCCTGGATGCACAGCTTGCAGGTGGGGCTGCTGCTGCAGCTGCTGGGGACCTGCTCTGCTTTCCTGGCCTCCATCGGCTCCTCCTCCTGTCCCTCCTGTTAGATGCTTTGGAAATTTTACCCTTCATAGGGAACTTTTTATTTTTTAAAGAAATTGTACTTTATCCTTCATGCCTATTTACCCAAGCTCCCAATGCCTGAAAGCTTTGGTTGTAAAAGGACTGCAGGTTTTGAACCGTTCTTTGTGCTTTTTCCTCATGTATGGCTTACAGCAGTGGTTTTCAACCTATGGTCCATGGACCCCTGGGGGTCCACAGACTGTGTCAAAGGGGTCTGTGAGAGATGACTACAATTAATTAAAAGTATGTGAATACCCACACTTACAATTCAAAGGGGAATGCATCTCCATTTGAAATTTCCAAAGGAACCTTGCCTCCATTCAAAATTTTTTTAGGGGTCTGCAAATGAAAAAAGGTTGAAAACCACTGGCATACAGAATACTATCTTTTATCAATCTGGGTATCATGGTTTTCATAGTTTCTAGGGTCAGAAGGGACCTGGGCAGATCATCTAGTCCGACCCCCTGCCATGGCAGGAAAGAGTACTGGGGGTCAAACGACCCCAGCAAGATGGTCATCTAACCTCCTCTTAAAAAGGAGGTATGTCTAACCTCCTTAGGCTTCTCCTTCAGCTTGTCTCTAATCTGCCTGTCTAGGAATTTTTTCCACACCTCATCGCCATCGTGTCTGAAAAGCTGAAGGAGAAGCCTACAACGTCTATAAAAAGCGTTTCTACAGCTGAACGATATCAGTTCATCACTTATCCCTCATCTTTTGACAGCAACCCCCCTGCTCCCCAAAATGTGTTTGCTCAGTAACCTTAAAAGGGTTCAATTGATTTGATCCATTTTAGGTGGTGAAAACTGCATCTGTGCTGATAACTTGCACGCCAGATTCTAACTCAGTGCAAATTAGAATGGCTGAGTTATATAAAGCCCTTGAAAAAAAGGGCTTATAATGGAAATGGCAACTGACCATTAACTATAGTGGCGCTACCAGCCACGATGATAATAAATTGTTTTGACTTCATGAAATGGTGACATAAAGAAAGCACATTTGGTTTTAGAGCATAATTAGCCCATTATTCTACTTCCTGAATTTTGTTTTATTACTCTTTCTCCTAAAATAAATTTTATTACAACCATGAGCACATTAAGCCATAACAAAGTCTGTCCCATGGGCAAGCATTTGCAGTTTTAATATATTCTTTGTGTATGTAAGACAAGCTATATATTATGTGACATGTGCAAGGACCATAAAACCAGCCAGTGATTGAAAATGCTAATATATCACTGTAATCACAGCTCAGAAGTTTGTGCAGGTTTCCACTTTAAATCCTTACTAAGTGAACATATTGCCGGATGCATCAATGCAACTGTACAATTTTATGCTTTTGAAGGTTTTTCAAATAGGAAAGACATTATACATTGTGTAAAGCTTTTTAGCTTACCAGAACCTCTTGCATTGTTTTTCCCTGTTAACCAGTCTGATGCTCCAGTCTGCTAAGGTGCTGAGTTCTCTGAATGAATACAAAATGAAAGGTCACAGCACCTCTTGCAGCTCAGCGCTTTGCGGGGCCAAACCCATCATGGAATATTGCTGGGGTTAAGCTGCTGTGTCTTCAGTGTTAGCATAAAGTTGTTCTAGGAAATATGTAGATAGTTTGTGGCTAGTAACCATGTCAATCCTCTGAACAACCAGACTTCAGAAGTTCAACTGAAATAAAATAACCCCTAAACCCTAATCTCAGGAATCCCTTCCTCAGGCTCCTGGCAGACATTACACTTAAGACATTAATCACGTCTTCAATAAGAACCCAGCCACACACTCAGGCAATTAATGGCATGTCAAAATGGGAAACCAGCCATAAAATTATTCCTCAAAATATCCATACTATTTTTTGTGACTGGTTTCCACTGCACTTTAAACTTAATATGTGGCAGGGTCCCTGCAATGCAGCCTGATGCTGGCTGCAGGTCCGGGCTTGGTTTATAGCTCCCCATGTTGGCAGGCTGACAGCCATGTGGTGCAGCTCTGCACGGGGCTGCACCCTATTGGTTTCAGGGTGTCCAGTCAAAGGGAGCTTGTCAGCTGAGTCTTGGAGAGTTGCAGGGTTGCCTGTGACTTGGCGGGTTGAATGCCTTGCCCTGTGGTTCCCATGGAGCTGCAGAGCAAGGCACTTGACACTTCCTGGTGATAGAAACCCTGGGATTTGGGAGAGGTTTGGTCTTCTGATCCCAGGGTCCCTGTATCCTGGGACCTTTAAAAACCATGTACGCAGCTCTGCTGCATGCCTGGTTTTCTGACACCCCTGCTGCATTGAGACCCTGGGATTGGGACACCACCCAAATATCCTGGAGTCTTGGTGTGCCATGACCTTAAACAGCGCATGTGTAGTTGGGCTGCACACAAGGTTTTCTGACATCCTGGTGCATGGGGTTCTGGGACTGACCTCAGTATGGTCCAGAGGCTGGCACTGACAATTAGCTGATTGTTGGTCCTGGTCTCTGGACTGCACAGTATGGAGCTGTGTGCACCTGGCTTTTAACTTGCTGGTGCAGAGGGAGCTCAGGATTATGATCATGGTTGGGGATCGTGATTCCTGGTTCCCCTTGTACTGGCAACTAGTATTGGCATGATTAGGATTTCATCCACAATCCCAAAATTGCATGCCTTGCTATGCACGTGTGGCATAGCAACAGGCACAATTGTTGGGATCAGGTATCAGATACTATTCTGCTATTAAATGAACTTGTGCCACAGGCCTGAGAAAGGAGCATGCCCAGAGCTAGGGCTTTAAGTAGCAGGCCATAACAGTGCCCTATGTCTTATCATAAAGATTTTTTCTCTCTCTTTTTAAAGCCTTACTATGCCTAAGGAAAAAATTTGTTTTAAATACCACTTTGCAGCGTGCAGCAAAAGGCTGCCCTCAAGCACTGCTCTCTGGGTGGCTTGCATTGGTACTAATACAGTATGACTGTCTGGTTAGTTCATGCTGTTATACACTTTGACTGCTCTCATATGTGTCCACCCCCATGCAAATTTCATGGGGGCAGGGAATTGCATTTTTAAAGAACCAATTTAATCATAATAGTGGCTTGGACAATGGGGTTAGTGCAGATTACAAAACAGGATGAAAAGGCATGAAGTGGAAAGCAGTGCTAATAGTTCAGAATTATTTGTAACAGGCATGACTGAATAAATGATGAGGAAATATTATTCCCGACCAGCTTACACGGAAAGGCAGTTATTTGGAATAAGAATATGTCAAGATGCTACTACTGTCTGTACTGACTTGAGGTTACTGGACTCTGGCAAACATATATTTATAGTTTTTGTTTCTTTGTTATTTTTTGAAGCCAGAAGGGATGGCTATGATCATCTAGTCTGACCTTCTGCATAACATGGACCACAGGACTTTCCTAAATGAAATCCAGCCGCAAGCCTTACAGCTCTGCTTGAACACTTGGCTTGACCTTGAAGTCCATATACACTCACAACTCCCACTGGAAGTCCATGCTGCCAGACTACTCTCTGGAAGCACAGTTTATTATAAGACTGGCAAATGCAATAATACTGCAGAAAATAACATTTACATACATACACACATGCTACCCCTCTATGCCATGTTTATAGATTTGGAATAAAAACCTTTTCAAATGATGGCAATATTCTTTTTCTTTTCCCCCTGAGGTAATGAATATAAAAATTGTTAGCTCTGCTAAAAACAGTAGAGTTATTAGCTGTAAATGCAAAATGTAACAGAGTCAATTCTAGCTTTATTTTTTAGATAAAGTCCCATAAGGAACAGTAATAAAGTGGGGGAAAAGGAGAGAAGGCAGAAGTCAGGCAACAATCAGAAGCTAAATTCTGCTTTCCTTCACACCAGTGTGGTGCCACTGAATAACCATGTTGCTCCAGGGACAGCAGAGTTTGCTTTGATACTGGGTATTAAGAAGAATGGAGCACTGAAAATATCTTGTACTCGGCAATGTTTTGTCAAGAATCTGTAACCAAATTCAGAGGTGGTTCAGCCCTCTACTCTATGATGCTGGCTTTTAGTTGCATAACTGTAATAACTCTCCTGTAAAGTTTGTGCCTGAAAGCATTCCCTGAGGGCTTAGTCCTCTCCTTGGTTCTACTCCATGAGCGTGTCTTTTTGGTCCTGATGGAATAAATCTCTTCAGGCATGTCTACACATCGCTGTACGGCGACGTTGCTACAGCACCATGCCTTAGTGCTTTCTTTTGGAAGTCTTAAAACACGGCACAATAACTGCCTGCTAACCAACGTGCTCATGGTTAGATTTCACTGCTATGTCACCATAGTGCAGCGTTTCCCAATGTTTTCTGCCCCACGGCACACTTACCCAGCCTTCTCCGCCCCACGGCACGCCTGCCAAATGTGGGGAGCAGGGGGTGGTGAGCAGCCAAACACCGAGCAGAGGGATGGGGGTATTGGGGCGGGCGGGCCAGGGTGCAGTGACGGCATGGGGCGGTGGTGGCATCAATGCCTGTAGCCATGCCCCCCCCGAAGATTCTGCAGCACACCTGGATATGGCGGACGGCACACTGGTTGGGAAACGCCGCTGTAGCGGCACACTAAAGCATTCAAACATGCTGCTATGGCAACATAGCTGCCGATCATGTGTAGACCCACATGATTGCTGTGCCATATGGCATGCCATGTAGAGTGCCATATGGCATGCCATGTAGCATGCCATACAGCAACATAGGACGATGTGTAGACATGCCATTAGTTTCTCATCCAGAGCTCTTATACCTTAAGTCTGTCTCTCAAGCTTTTTTCTCCCTGCTCCCTAAGCATTAGGGGCCAAATGCGGCTGCTCTTTCCCCATAAAGTATTACCAATTTGTCACACATTCTAAATCATGTTTGTTGACCTCAGATGGGCAGTTTCAATTTCTGCAATGGCCTTCCTATATCATGGTGACTGGAATGGCATATAATACCCCAGAGCAGATCTCTCAGGTGTTTTTTATGTTACCGATTTGTGTCCAGCTCATATGTATTAAAATAATGAAACCAGTGAGAAGGAAGACGAGAACCATTGGCAGTGTTTGTGGCCTCCTGAGTACTGGGGAACCTACTTTAAAATAGCCTGTTCTCCTCCAGCAGACCTCCATAGTTATCAATTAGGAGACTACACGCAGACAGCTCCTGTACAGCACTACATACAACAAAAACTTATGCTTATGTAAGAGAGCAATTTATTGTTCTGGCAATTATGAATTCATGAAACGTTATGTGTATTATTCTGAAAATAAATAGAATCATACTAATATTAAGTGAGAGCTGTATAATTCATGCCACGATTAAAATGATTTTATAGCATATTATTACATGCAAAATTAAAGGGGAGCAAAAAGGTGGGATCCAACATTTCACTTGAAGGAGAGCACAGTTTTTTTATTGCTTCCATATTCTGTATTAGGAAGGTCCTGCTGAGAGATGATTTGCTTACCTTACTACCTCTTTTTAAGCTAGTAAGGGACAAACGGGCCAGAAGTTGGACCGTTATAAAAATGAATACATTATTCATGAGGAAGTACTGACTTGTGTATTATACTTTGTGTATTCTGCCTTATATTTTTAAAGCCATCATTTATCTTTTTCATACTCTGACATTTTCTAAATCTCACTGAGCACCAGAGCTCACAGGTTGCTGCTCTCATTGGGATTTAGTTGTGTGTTTGACCTTGCCAGCATTCCTGGCTATTTTTATCGGGAAGATTGTGCTTGAAAGAGGTAATCTGTAACAGTTGTCCTTTAATGATTAATGTAATGGAAAAATAATGGAGAGATCTGGGGAATACATCTGGAGTTTTTCAATTAGAGAGCTTCTCACATTTTAATTAATTATCAGAAAGTTAGTCGATAAGGTATCATTATCCTTTTTAAAGATGTTAGGGTTTCTTTTCCTACTCTCAGAGAATATAAACTTAAGAAGAATATTGTTTTTACTGTGAATTGGTTAGACTATAAAAAAAAAATCCATGATAGACACTTTCAGTGCTTTCATTTCACATCTGTGTCAAGAATGAGACTGATCAATTCCCAACTAGAAAACTTGTTGAGCAGCCCACATGGGGATGTCTTCTGCTACCATGTCACTTGCTTCTTTGCACTTCTGTGAGACAGAAGATAGGAGGTAAGGTTTGGGAGGGCTAGGTATGAACATCTTACCGTATGAAATGCCAGTTCAAAGTTAAGTAAAACCTAAAATGGGATTAACTCTTCCATAGCCCGTTAATAAGTATCCTCATCCTTGAACAGTTCTGGGTCACTGCAAACTGGGAAGCATCCCTGTAGCATATGTTGCAATGTGTGTGACTTCTACTCTGGAGAGACAGGGACTTTGGATCTATCGCATCTCAAGGTGGGAACAACTGCCAGTTCCACAGAAATGAGTTAATCTGAGTGATTTTCATCAGGGGAATTTTTCTTCCTCAGTGTCATCCTCACCTAAGACTGGTTCTACGAGAGGCAGTAGAAGGGTCTATTCTCAGAATTACTTAAAAAAAAATCCATTATCTTCCAAAAGTCAGAGTTAATTATTAGATACATTTTAAGAATCTCCAGTATCTTCTATTGGAAACAAATGTTTTCATTGCACTTATTGCCAGTTGCAGCCCTTCTCTGCATGTGTGTGTGTGTGTATGTGAAATTATTTGGGCTGTTTTTGGAAGGGGTTTATATTTGGGGTTTTTTTTTGCTAATTCATACATCATCTATAAAATAATATTGAAATTGGCCAGTTGCTTCTATGCAGCTTGACAACTTGCATTAAATAGTAAATGCACTTGCTTAAACCATATTCATAAGATACAACCTGTTTAAGAATATGTTAAACATTTGTTCTATGTAACTCATGTGAGGCCTGATTTTGTTTCTCATATGGAAAGAAGATGAAGGCCAAAGTGACAATATGTAGTTTGTAACTTTAACTATTTTTCTACCTTGATTTATTTTAATAGCTAGGTAAGGACTCAGTGTTATTACTAAATCTCTCCATCATAGCTCTCTTGTATGGCCCCTGTTACCTTTAGTGTTTGAGTAGTAGGAGCTAAAGCAGTAAGAGACAGACCCAAGTCCTCAAAGTTATTTTGGTGCTAATATCCCATTTATTTCAGCAGATATTGATTTCAGTTGGAGTTAATAGCCTGAATTACCTGGAAAGGTGGAAAGGTTATGAGTATAAGTGACTGCTGAAGGTCACAGGAAGGCTATTGCAGAGCAAGGAACTGGATCATTATTTCAGGAGTTCAATAGTATTGCCCAAATCACTGAGTTACTTCACCTTCCTATAGTGGTCATCCAGCCCCAGTTTAATTAGTCCTTTACTCAAAAAGGAAAATATTAGGTGACCTCAACAGAGTTATGTGGTGACTTCAAAACAGAATATGGGACAAATGGATGAGGAGGCTTGTTGATACAAAAGCATTAAAGGTTTTACATTACAGTGCAAGTTTGAAACAGAGCTGCCTGCCTCTTTTTGGTGTCTGGAGATGGAAGTGAAAGTCTTATGAGATATTGGAGTGTGTTATCAATACACTGTAAGCCACATGAAGGTGGAAAGGAATGCGAAAGTCATCATATTAACTTATTTTGTGCTTGTTAAAGTTTCCAGTTGATTGGGCAGGTGCTTCGTCAATCTTAACAGGCTCTTATTGTAGTTGTTTCTCAGCAGCTCCAAAGAGTGTAGAGTGTATGGCACAGCAGTTCTTTCCCAGGCTGCCTAGATGAATGCAGCAAATTGCCCAGTATCAGGCAGATTTAGAAGCATCACTTCCCTCAGTCATACAGGATGGTCTTCCCTAGGAGATAAATCCCATCTGTGCTTCCATGACTAGCTAAACCTGCTTAGATCCACTCTGTGGAGATTCCAAGGAATTCAATGGTACTGGTAGATGGGAAGAAAAAGGGGCAGGAAAATGCATTTTTTCAATTATTTAAAATGCCTCTAACTATGGCTGCTTCTGTATTTTTCCCCCATTGGAAATGTTTCACATAGTAAAATTTGTCCTAGGTTATTTCTTTTGCTGTGAGAAATATCCCTTAGAATGGGTCCATCCACTGAGTCTTCCTTTAAGGCTCATTTGAGCTTGAAATAGAAACATTTGTCTGCAATATGCTCAGAAACCAAAAGCTGCTGTTTTCCATGTTGTTGTTTAAGTGAAAAAGTATGTCAGAATGATCTATTGTGGGCAGTTAAGTAAATCCAGCTCCAATTTGTATTCTGCACTCTTATCACTAGTACATTTCCCAGAGCCTTATCTGGACAGTTTTAAAATATGCAAACTATTGTCAGTTTCCATGGAAAAGAGCAAAAAAAAATTACTGAAGTTGTACTGAAGAAAATGGAGCTCTCGTGGAGGGTCCAACTCCAGTGCCTGTCATTTTTCATCACAATGTATATAAGTGACTGACTGGCTGCTTTCTGTCGTAGTCTCAGATGTTGACCTTCCTGTAGTGACAAAGAGGTTCCTTTCTAGTCTGACAGTAACCTTTTCAAAGTGATCACTTCTAAGTCATGCAATATTAATGCAGGGACAATGAATAATAAATGCGTTCCAAGACAGACTGCTTGTT